TTACACACGAGGGCGACCGCGACCAATGGCCGCCGTCGACCAACAAGAAGTGAGCGACGCACAGGAGACCAACGACCACGAGATACATAGATGGCAATCACGTGTTCATATTGCGGGCGACTCAGTCAGCGACCAGAGCTGAGAGAGGTGACATATCCGTTGTTTCTTGTTTTCTCCCGTCTTGTTCATGTCACTCAAGTGGTCAGTGTATCATGCGTTTTGATACTGAAAGATTTATTTCGGCTGTAGAGTCACGAAGAGCCATTTCGGACCTTGCAAGTCCCGATTATACTAACAGGGAGTTGAAAAGAAGTCAGTGGGAAGAGGTTGTGGAATTGTTTGACGAATTTTTATCATTATAGTATTTTTTTACTGAGGCTGAGGCCTCTGTCTGCGCTGGTCTTCTCGTTTGGTCGCTGATGGTTTTGGTCGTTCAGCGACTGGGTCGCCGGCGACCGGTCGACAGTGTGAAGCGTCCCTATTGGTCTGTTGAAAATCCTCGGTGGCTTTGGAAAGCCGATCATAAGCGGCGATGGAGAGTGAAGGTCTGGTGCCGCATCACTGGCGATCGTATCATTGAAGGAACCTTAACAAGACGCAGGTACGCAGCTTTTTTTATCAGACTGTGCCTTTCCTGGAAGATCTGCCGTTGCAAACTCGTCTGAATGTGTGGCTCCAATATGACGGTTGTCCGGCATATTTTGCGCACGTAGCGAGACGAATACTTCATGGAGGGTTTTCTGATCATTGGATCGGACGCGTACGACCACCACGTTCACCAGACTTAACCCCGTTGGATTTCTTTCTTTGGGGAACAGTAAAGGGTAATGCTTTTTAAGAACCACCAACCACAGGAGAAAAATGCAACAACACATTATTTAACCTTAATTCAACGTTTCCGGAAGTGCGTTGATGCCAGTGGTCACTATTTTGAACGGTTATAGCTGCAACGTTTGTAATAACATTACAATTTTTAGTGTAAAATACGTATTGATGGATTGTCATACTCTGAATTCTGAAATCTGAGTAACGGTACATCAGAAATGAATGTGTTGCGTGAACTCGTCTTAAGTCTGGCTGCAATTGTGACTTAAAACAAGGAGGGTTTCATTAAAGAAAAGGAAGGTAGCCTTGATAACTTCATAACAACGATTCCGTAATTAATATTTAATGGCTCATTCTATATCCCCATTAGACATTTTGTACAGTTTATATGAAACATTCTTTCTTGTGTTTTGAGTTCGCAAAATTAGGTGGGACTCATGTGTTTTATGTGTTTTTAACAGTATCCTAACTTGATGGCGTCTTCATCGAGTTCTTATGAAGTTAAAATATTTTGTATGATTTGAGGTTTTCACAGCGGTGAGTATGAAGATTTCTGTCTTCTGGGTTGTTGCGCTGTGTAGTCTGGTCGATGTTTACCAACGTTTCAGAGGTCATACTGCCTCCATCATCAGGGCGAT